TTTATTTCAATTTTCAAAAAAATATTTAACAACCAATGAAATGGTTTTCCAATTTTGATTTAAATAATTTATGCAACTATCTTCAAAATAATTTGATAAACTGTTGAACATTTCTCTTTTGTTCCCTTTGACTTCATGACAGTTGATACATATATTACCTTTGTATAACAAAGTAACAGTTATCTAAAATAAGATTTAAGCCTTTAATTTTATTAATTTATTAAACCTTGGAGGTAATAAATGTGGATATTGATCCAAATAATATTCAGCATATTTTATATCATATCCATATTTAGAGCTTGGATATAGAAAAACAATATCTAATGGCATTAACAAAAATTTTCTGATAAGATCTTAATGAAATCAATATTATCTCTTACATTACTTTGTATTTTAGTTAAAAGTTGTTTATAAGTATATTTAAATACTCATTGATATGATCACCTTATTTTTTCCACCTATAAATGGATCTTCCAGAGTTATTTGGAGGATATTTATCCAAAGATATTACACCTTATATCTTTCTAAAGTTTCCTTAATTTCTTCACTTTTATAAATTTTAGGTAATACATAAAAGGTATCTATATTTGTCATTACTTAAAAAGTAATTATTTTTTCTTTTAGTAAATATAATGGAAATTATATATTTTCAACATTGTGTCTTTTACTTTAGTAACAAATTTTATAACATGTGGAGGACGTTTCTTTATCATTTATATGTTGCAAAACCATTTTGATTCCATGATAATAAATAGTTTACTGTCTAGTGATTAGGGTGCTTGATTTGCGATCTATGGGTTGTGGGTTTGAATCCCCATCACCGAACATGCCCTTTTAGCCATGTGGGCATAATAATGTGACTGTCATTCCAAATTTTTGTTGGTGAAAGAGTAATTGGTAGCAGGTAGTGTTGACTAGCTGCCTTCCCTTTAGTATATTACTGCTACATTAGGAATGACTAGCACAGATAGCCCTGAAATAGATTTGTGCAAAATTCAAAAACAAATCTTTGAATGAAGATAAATGAAGAAGTGTTTTTTTTTAATGCATTTCTTTTTAATTTTTGAAATATTATCTTTAAATGGAAGAATTTTATAACATACTTTATATAAATTATGTAAAGTTATAGAATTCTTACTCTTGGGGAGGTAGAAAATTAACCCTTTTGCTGCATAGTTCGGATATATCCAAATAAACATTTATATCCACTGACTGCGAAATTCAGATTTACCCCACAGCTGCCAAAACAAATTTCCCTCTACTGTGACATGCATGAAAATCCCCCTGCCCTTGAAACAATCACCAAACCTGCATGTGTGCTACCATCTGTGTTCTATGCTATGAAACTTAGATGTTTATATGCCTCGTTACAAAATTGCTAACTTTGCAGGAACACATAGAATCTATATAGAGACAGCTTCTTTATACCTTGGATATTGTTG